AGGAGGAGGGGGGGGGGAGAAGGACAGGAGAGAGAAGAGGAGAGGGGAGGGGTACTCACTCAGGGGCACTTGCAAGGGGGAGAGAGAGAGAGAGAGGGAGGGAGAGAGAGAGAGGGAAGGAGGGAGGAAGGGAGGAAGGGAGGGAGGGAGAGGGAGAGAGAGGGAGAGAGAGGGAGAGAGAGGGAGAGAGAGGGAGAGAGGGATTAACTCACTCGTCGAGGAAAAGCCACGGAGGAGAGGCAGCAGAAGTCGCGCTGAACCCGAAGAAGAAGAAGATGATGATACAAGGGACTGCCGGTAATGGCAGCGCACGCCAGTGGCCACACGTGAGGCAAGAGTTCGGAGAGCCATGGCTATGGCTGCTCAGCGGCTTCTTCTCTCTCCCTCGTCTTCCAGAGACTTCCCACAGAGAGAAAAAGAGAGAGAGAGAGAGAGAGGGAGAGGAAGGAGGGGAGAGAGAGAGAGAGAGAGAGAGAGAGAGAGAAAGAGAGAAAGAAAGAGGGAGAGAGAGAGGCTAAGACGGGGCGGGAGCCGACTACTGGCCACGCTCTCTAGAGAACAAATCTGCAGACTAAACAATTCCTCTGTCTTCCTTGCGCCTCTTCTTCACTTACGTTTGCTAAGGGCCTCGACTCACTACTCTCGACATGCAGAAAACATTCGAAACAATAAATATGGCAATGAATCTGTCCATGTTCTAGGGACATATTCAGTCTCGTTTTGCAAATTTCCAGAGTGGTGGAGCCAGGCCCTAAACCCCGAATAATGGGGGGACTCGCCCCCCCCCCTTGGCGGGGAGAAGAAAAACACCACGGAAAACGAAAATCGAAATTATGTCGGGAAAAAAAAAAAAAAGTCGAAAGTCCAGAATATGTATCGTATAATAAAATTTCCCAAAAACTATATATAAATATATATTTTTTTTTAATTTATATATATATCTTTTTTATTTATATATATATATGAATATTATATATGTATATTATAAAAATAGACATATAGATACAGATTTTCTTATTCTTTTTTTACATATGAATATAGATATAGATATAGATATAGCTATGTGTACCCACAAAATCAAACGACAAAAAAAAAAAAAAAAAAAAAAAACCGAAAAAGAAACAACAAGGCGCGCACTTTTCTGTCTGTGGGCCTGGCTCCACTACGCAAAGTTTTTTTTTTTTTTTTTTTAATCTACTACGCAAAGTTTGTAACGTATCGGGGCATCGACTTGGTTCAAAATACATTCACAACATTCGATCAGTTCGAACGTATCCGGTCCACGTGTCAGTCTAGATACCTGCCCGATGTTTAGAAGAAGAGCGATGCCATGTGTCCCGCGGCCACCGACGAGAAGAGATCCCTCTCCCGCTCTCTCAGATCCTTCGTATCTGGCCGCTGGTCTGGGCAAATCTACAGTGTAAAATGACTAGCGTCTTCACTTTCAAATGGAACGCATGCCCTGTATCTGGACAACAGGCTGGCCCAAATACAGCGATAATGACCGCGGTTTCTATGTGATCCGGTTGATCGACTGGACTCCAGCGACCCAAAGTCCTCGCTCCGGTACCAATCACGTGCACGAAAGACAAAAAAAAAAGGAATAAAAAAACTCCGGGTGTATCTTCCCATGTTATGACGGAAGATTCGTTCTCATTTTGCTCATTTGGCGAGTAGTGGAGAGAGGCCCATTCGTTCCACTAATTAGAGTGTACGGCCACTAGCACCTTTTGACAAAGCTCTGGACGTGATTGCAGTCAGATTCATTACGTTCCCGCCGTTATTTCAGTCAGATGCATTCTGGAAAGTGCACTTGCACCTCAATTGAGTGACTTTCGCGCGTTTTTACGCCACACTGCAGCCGTCAGATCTCCCGATCCGATGGCTTTTTTTTGTCCTTTTTTTTTCGATCCAATGGCTTTGAACCAGGACTGCTGGAAAAGCGAAGGGGCCAAGTCCCACTAGCAGCGCTGAGTTTCCTCAACGTCCGAATCTGGACGTGTTTGTGGAGATGTGCGGTTGGGCAAACTAAACGCGATTTTCTGCATATACTGACAAACGCGTCCACATTCGGGAGTTGAGGACACAACGCTGACGGTGGCACTTGGACTCAGGTTCCCCGCTCAGGTTCCCCGTAAGGGGTCATACCCTTTTTCGCGCGCTCTTTGGGTCAGACCGTTTTCGCGCGCTTTTCACGCGCCATTCCATCCCCTACTTGTGTGGCTGAGCCAGGTGCCAAATGCCGATAATCTTTTTCGGTTTTTGGACATGCCTATTATAACCAGGGGCGGGGTCCCACTACCAGCAAAGAGGATCGAATTAGGAGCCTGAATCTGGATAGGTTCTTGGCCGAGATGCAGAAAAGCAGATCAGTCACGACATAAACGTCGAGATTCAGGCATTTCAACCCAATCCTTTTTGCTAGTGGGACCTCGGCCCAGGCTAAGGGCCTAAGGTAGCTCCACCAGTCACCAAACTGGATATCCTTTTTTTCCACCCGGTAAGTTGAGATAATTGCCAACATGCCCCTGAAAGACGTGAATAGGGGCACGTGAATAGAGCCTAATGCCCCTCTGACAAAAACAATTTTGGTGAAATAACCCTGCGGCCTGGACCCACCCACCATGGGATTTGCTTACTCTGATGCCGCGGTTGGGCGACAGTGTAAAAAAAAGGCAAAAAATGTAAAGTAATCGAAAGAAAATGCGTCCTCCGAAATTAGTCTCCACACAACCCACCGCACGCCCGCAGAGTGGGACTTTCACAGTTTACGGGATTGTGTTGTGGTCGTTACCAGCGTTAGGCAGCTTGTCTGTACGTGCCTTTTGCCAAATTCGTCCACATGCTCTTGCCTTCATGCGAGCGTCTCTCTCTCTCTCTCTCTCTCTCTCTCTCTCTCTCTCTCTCTCTCTCTCTCTCTCTCTCTCTCTCTCTCTCTCTCTCTCTCTCTCTC